ATGTACATGCCTGTATTTAGACCTCTATAAATTCCCTTTACCTCCTAGCTCTTTCCTCTATTTCCTTTTACTTTCCTCTTGTCCCACTAACATGCTCAGCCTTCATTAGGGTTTCTGTAATTCCTCTCAGTTACATTACCCTTGGTCACACCCTACCAGGCTTCCTGCACCCTCCTCACCACCGATCTGGATCACTTGTTGTTCCCTTGTCCCTGGGTTTGTTAAAACCTCTACCTTTCCTCCCACTTCCCCCTCTCCCATGTCCCCCTGGAACTGCCAGTCCCGTTGTTTTCTCCTCCAGATTGTTCATCCAGCCTATCTTATTTAGACAGACTTGCGGAGATAATAACATGCACAGAAACAAGACAGAGCAAAACCAAGCAACAAAATAAAACAAAACAACAACAAGCCAATGACAACAAAACAAAACAAAGCACAACAACAAGAAAGAAAAGCTTGCAGTTAGTTCAAGGACTGTTTGTTGGCCTTTAGGAATGTTTTCCAGTCCAATCTGTTGGGGTGCCAACCCCTGGCCACAAAGTCTATTGTTGGTATTCCCTGGGGACTTTGTTGCTCTGTTCCCCTTGCTGTTCTGTTCCACGCCCTTAGTGTTTTGCCTCGGTGTGGTGGGATCAGATTGGGCAGAATTCCCCATTGTTGTCTCCTGTGGGACTATGGGTCAGTGAGGGATGTCGTGTCTCACAGTGGGGCTGGCCATGTGTCCTCTCTGTGGATTGGCTGCTCTGAGTAAAGTTTTAAATTTTTATGAAGTCAAGTTATCTGCTTTTTCTTCCTTTACTGCTCTTGGCTCTTCTTTGTCTTCTTTTTTTAAGGATAAAGGAAAACTATAGTTTTATGTAAAAATATGACAGTGGTCCAACTATCACTACCTCTGGGGAGGCATAGGGCTTGGGAATTTTCTGATTTTACTCTACACCATGTCATTGGGTGTTGGAAATGTTTATGTAGAGGATGATGATGATGATGAAATCCAGGTATTACATGGATTTAAAAACAAACCAATTTTATGATGGACTATTTCAAACATACATACAGCAAAGCAAGAGAAATTGCATTAGGCCTCTCCCTGTCTCCCAGCTTATACCCCATTATTAACTCATGCTCCAGGGGTAGTCAGAAATTTGTAGGGAAAAAAATCCATGATTTTCATTTCATTTCTCCACGAACTTTTTTAAAGACCATTGACATAAACATGTTTTGTGTATACCTTCACCCCGCCCATTATTTTATTTTATTTTTCTAGATGAAGTTAAGAAGGGTGAGGGGAGCGTTGACACGTCTCATCATCTTTTTTTTTAAACAATTTTATTGGGGGCTCATACAACTCTTATCACAATCCACACATACATCCATGTGTCAGGCACATTTGTACATATGTTGCTGTCATCAGTCTCAAGACATTTGCTTTCAAAAAAAAAAAAAGACATTTGCTTTCTGCTTGAGCCCTTGGTATCAGCTCCTCCTCATTATTTTATTGTATTTCATTTTCAGTCCATTATTTTAAAGGAAACCAGCTGTCATGGAATGCAATCGCTATCCGACTAGTGCATATTTCTTAAAGGTAAAATTTTCATGTATGTTTTTATGACGGCGTAGTGGGCAGTGGGCAGTTCACTCAGTGGGAGAAAGATGAGGCTTTCTACTCCCGTGAAGATTTTCCATCTCAGAAACCCACACCAACAGTTCTAATTGTGTCCCATAAGCTTGCTATGAGTCAGAATTAACTTAGATGGCAGAGTTTTTGTTGTTTTGTTTTCTGAATACATGCTAGAATTCACTGACCACATTTAGGAAAACTAATCACTATTCCTTTAGAACTTCAAGTAAATTCTCTTTAAAAAATGTTCTATGGATACCAGTACTCTCTCCTGAAAGCTGAGAAGGCCTATTTTTCAAACACTTGGGAATAAAGCAATGTTTTCACCTGGGGTTGCTGCTTGGCCCATATATTGTGGTTTGCACACCTGCTGTGTAGGCACTACACTGTCCAAATTTATTTTGAGACCCTAAAACAACCCTTATTACCCCGGGTGGGACTCGAACCCACAATCCCTGGCTTAGGAGGCCAATGCCTTATCCATTAGGCCACCGGGGCTGATGGAAGACAATACTCACCGATAGTAGACAGGTTTGCCCCCTTCTCCCAATGGTTTCAGCAGAAATTTTTGGCACCATCCGGGCCTTCTTTGCGGCTCCCTAAGATCTATATTGGACCGATGTGCCCACTCAGACCTCACCTGCCACTAGGCTGTCCCTGGACCCTAGGTCCTACTACAATTGGGATAGAGAAGTGGCTCCTTGATCTGGGAAGATGATTTTCACTTAAAGTTGAGGGATTTAAAGAGATACAAGCGGGTTCAAGTCCCGGCCGAGCTCTTTAGGGCACCTTTCGGGAGGAGTGCATGAATAATCTAAGTGACAAAGACGTTTGTAATGAGGGATGTCAGAGATGTGGAGAGGGCGAACTATCAAGGGCGGTTGTTTTCCTTTGTCAAGACCAGGTCTCTATATGCTTGGCAGACTGATAGCTTTCAGTGTCTGATCTGAGAGTCCTTCAGGGTCTACCCATCAGAGGCCCGGCTAGCTCAGTCGGTAGAGCATGAGACTCTTAATCTCAGGGTCGTGGGTTCGAGCCCCACGTTGGGCGGCTGCATTTTTTTAGCC